CTTCCTCGAGGCAGGGTTGACCTTTATGGTCATGTAGGTTTTGAAGGTGTCCAGAAGAAGAGATAAGTGAGAGTTGAAATCTAGTTTGAACTCTAATTACCAAGGCTTATCTTCAGCATGGAGCTACATCAGGCCAGAGGATGAGGTATATTTCTTTCTGATTTGCACAAAGGCACACAAAGGAACAGAGGCAGTACAAAGCAGCAGCCCTGCCTTTGAGAACCAGGCCCTAGGCTGTGACACCAGGGCTGAAGCAGGTACAACTTCTGACCTGGAGTTTGAAACTGTGATTCCTGTGAGATGGTGGAACATGGAAGGTGCTCAATGACTGGTACATGTACAGTCAAGACAGTAGATGCTTTTAGAGAGAGTGGAAGGGAGAGAGGGATCGGGGGAGAAAGAGAAAAACATTGATGTGAGAGAGTCACATCATTGTGTCTCTCGGGCAAGAGCTTAACTGGGCAGGGATAAAGCCTGCAACGGAGGTACGAGGTTTGTGTCCTTAACTGGGAATTGAACCAGCTACCCTTTGGTCTCTGGGCTGGTGCTCTAACCATTGAGCAACTGGCCAGGGCTGTCCCTGCATTTTTTTGTTCCACCATGGCAAAGCTACTTCTCTTAGGATGAGATACAAGAGCCTCATTCTGGAAGATTGGGGAAAGAATCCGAGGGAGTCACTAGGGAAGGGGTCCAGGTGGGCACAAGCTGGGGCTGTAGGGCAAGAGGAGAGTCCAGGGACTCCTAACGGACCACACATGTGGCCAAGCCCAGTGAGAAGAACTGTGTTCTCAATCACAGGAGGGTTGCACCGGATTCTCATCCCCAATTGATTGGTTAACTGCAGTCACTAGTCACCCAGCTGCAGCTGCAAGCTGTGCGGCCCACCACAGGGAGCAGGCGCCTCCCACCCTCCCCCTAACCCTCTCCAAGAAAACAGGCTCCTGGAGCAAGGCTGCCTTGGTTTAGAGGGCACTATTTTGAAAACCACTCAGAGGGGCTTCCTTCCAGTTATGGCTTTCCAAGTGCCAGGCTTTGGCTCTTCCTACTGCCCTGATAAGAGAGGAAAGGTGACCACAGGTGACTGAAACTTATTACTGGTACATTCTTGAGCAAGTTACTTAACCTCTCTGGGTCCAGTTTTCGTATCCGTAAAGTGGGTGTAAAATTGTGTGTGTATGTGTGCATCTGGAACTCTCCATACCAAAGTATTAAATGATATTTCTGTGTGGAGAGATTATAGGTGATTTTTATTTTGGTTTATTTATATTTTCTAATTTGTGTTTTATAATAAACTAGAGGCCTGATGCACGAAATTTGGGCAAGAGTAGGCCTTCCTTCCCCCAGCTGTCAGCACTGGCTTCCCTCTGGCACCTAAGACCCGGGCTTCCCTCGCAGCCCCGGCTTTTGTCCGGAAGGAGGTCTGGAAGGACGTCTGGTCTAATTAGCATATTATGCTTTTATTATTATAGATATGTATTATTTACTTATTTTTTAATAGAGTTATACTGCATAGGGTTGTTGTACGGATTAAAGGAGATAATGACAAGCACAGCACAATTTCTACTTTGCGTGTGTTCCCCGTAACTGTGAATTCTCCCTGCTTACCCTTCTCTCATACTTTCCTTTCCTTCTGGTGTTAGAGACACTGACCCCCAAACCTCAGTTGGAGAGGAATGAAGAGGTGGTACAAGACTCTGGTTTCAGCTACTGGCTGTGTGGCTTTGGGTAAATCACTTAACCTCCTCGAGTCTCAGTTATCTTGTCTGCAAAATGGAAAGAATAACACCTACTTCAAAGGAAGTTTTCAAGACTATATGACATACAAGATGTAAAACTGTCTGGCACATAGTAGGTCTGCAATAAGTGTCTGCAGGAAGAAACATGATGCATGTGATAAAGTAACAAGCATTGGAGTAGGAGCTAGACCAGAAGAGGCAGAAGATTTTAGCATAGATTCTACAGAACCCAGGGGATCCATGGATAGAGTTGAAAAAATTACATCCTTGTTTTCACTAACCTCCAACTAAAATGTAGCATTTCCTTCTATCATGCATGTAAGCAACAAATCACAACAGTATTAGCAGTACCTGAGACTCCGTCACCAATAGAAATCATAGATATTTCTGTATTGCATTACAGTAACGAGGTCTTGAAATACTGTTTACACTCATTGACTACCTCGAAATTACAATAGGTAATAGACCAATTTCTAGAGCTTGTTATTTAATGTTTTTAAAAAGGACTAAATCACAAAATAAATATTTTGATAATGATTTTATATAATTGGTTTCCTCTGTATTCCAAAGTAATTTATTTTTCGTAGTTAAAAATATCCTTCTGAATAGAGGTCCATAGTCTTCATCAAAATGCCAAAGGGTCCCCTGGCTAGACAGACGTGGGTACCAGTCCTGCCTGTGTGACACTGGGCTTGTTATGTCTCTCAGAGGCACAATCATCCTAGCTTGGCTCACACAGGGTTGTTGGAAGGAACAAATTAATTCTTGGCTGGAAAAAGACTTTGAAAACTGTTGGCAGCTTCCCAATTTTACCAAAAGCCAGAGCAGAGCGCTTTCTACTGCCCAGCTGAACCCCATGTCTCCAGGAGTGCTCTCTCCCTTCTACAGGATTCCACGCCTCCCCTTTACTCTCCATCTTATAAATAAAGAGGCCAAAATGCACCTCCATTAGAGTACACTATCCAGTGCACAGTTTGCAGAAATCTCCAGCTGGAAAAAGTTTTCTGAGGGATAATAACAATTCCCTCCAGTTTTCATATTTGACCTAAGAGTGATTCTTGAGGACACTACCCCCTCAAAACTCTTCCCTGGTCCTTCAGACGGTGACCCCTCTTCAGATGGCCATGGTCCCTGCATTTCCCCTTTCACTGCCCTGTCCTGTGATGTCTGTCTGACTCCCCCACTATACTATGTGTTTCTCAAGAGCAGACCCAGACCCAATCCTCTCAGGGGCCCCAGGTCAAAGGCATGGCACACATTTGTATCTTAGGAGCTGGCTTAGATGAAGAAAAGGAACTGGAAGCACAGAGAGAAAAACTGAGGAAGGGTTTGACCTAGGGCTTGAGCCCAGATCCCCGGATGCCCATGATTTATCCCACACACACCCAAAGCAAGGGATGGAAGAATTGGGGAGTCCCAACGCATCCCATCATTTCCTACTCTACCCACTGCTGTGAAAAATGAGGAGAGCTACCAATGAAGCGTGTACAATGGGAGGTGTCAGATTCAGTGGCTTTTAAATCTTTTGACCTGGCTCAGAGTAAGAAATGCATTTTACAAAGCATTACTATCTGCCATGCACTTTCCCCATTCCATTTAATTATTATTTTTAACGCTAGCTGTGACTCAATAACTGATTACATGGCCCACCGGTCCTTTTCAAGCCCCAGTACCCTGTGATTGGCTGAAAGGGAATTATTCACATAATGAATGGGACAATTAACGAGCAGAAGTCCCTGGTCCTGGCTCAGTGCGATCCAGCCAAACTGCGAATCTCTCAGAGCCTCAGTTTCCCCAATGTACCCTGAGAGGACAGACAGGAAATCTCTAAGGCAGCGGTTCTCAACCTGAGGGTCGCGACCCCTTTGGGGGTCGATCGACCCTTTCACAGGGGTCGCCTAAGACCATCGGAAAACACATATATAATTACATATTGTTTTTGTGATTAATCACAATGCTTTAATTATGTTCCATTTGTAACAATGAAAATACATCCTGCATATCAGATATTTACATGACAATTCATAACAGTAGTAAAATTACAGTTATGAAGTAGCAATGAAAATAATTTTATGGTTGGGGGTCACCACAACATGAGGAACTGTATTAAAGGGTCGCGGCATTAGGAAGGTTGAGAACCATTGCTCTAAGGGCTTCATACAGCCCCTTCAGATTGTGGTTCTCTGACCCTAGTGAGAACAGTGCCCTTATGAACTGGAAATAATTTTTGAGAATGAAGAGGTGTACTGGCTTTGCTTCCTGGTGGGTGGGGTCACCATCTGGGACATTAATTAGCCCCCTTGTCCTAGGCCAGTGTGGACAGGGTGTGAACAGGGGAGTAGGAACATGTCAGTGCATGAGCTAGCTGCTCAGGGAAGGAATGAACCGGCAAGGGAGCCAGAGGATGAGGGCATTTAAAAGTCCACTGGTAGAGAGGCGCTGTGAGAGCAAGGCCCGGGGAAGGAGCCGGACCCAGGTTACAATCCCGCGGGCTTGAGGGCCAGGAAAGATGACTTCTCTCTGCCCCTGAGCTCTCCTTTATAAAATGGGTTTGAAAATCCTTGGTCCTCGGAGTTGTTGTGAAGGTTACGTGAGGTCAGGTGTTAACCATCCCATACTGACCCTACTGTGTGGTCGCCGGCTGGTTGCGCCCCGCGCCCCGCACTAGCCTGCCTCTGCCCTGAGATGCCCGCGCCCCG